TTCAACTATCCAGACAGTGCGCGAGAGGAGCAAAAAATAAAAATAGGAAAACAAGAGAGGAGAGAGGATAGTAGCTGCTGCCTGCTCGTTTTGTGCAGAGAGCGAGAGAACCGAGGAAGGAAAAAACATAAGACAAAAAGGGAGTTCACACGCGTAGCGCAAAAAAGTTCGTAAACCTTTGCGCGTTGCAGCAGCACCCACCCACATATACCTTTGCACCCATACACCGGCGCGCACGCGGTAGCATACATACAAATTATAAATCACAGGTTAAGAGTAAAAGCAAAAAAAAAAAAAATTATATACCATCGCGCACGTATGCATAAGCAAAAGCTCATGTATATCGTATACAGCGCGCGGGCGTTATGTATATCCATTATATACATACATTCGCATCGAAAGAGAAGCAGAAACACACTGAGCGTCGCGGCCCGCACACCTATATAGAAAACGGATCGATGCAAACGCTCTCGCGCGCTCAACGAAATGCTCCCTCTGACACTGCGCTACTGCTGCTGCTCTCCACTGCTGCTGCACACAGTCTGTCTCTTTCCTACTTGGCGTTATATTTACGACCATTACCTTTTGCAGTGGAGTCGAGACTCTCTCTCTCTCTCTCTCTCTCTCTCTTTGCAGCAGAAATTTATNTATATATATATATAGAGAGAGAGAGAGAGAGAGAGAGAGAGAAAAGAGCGAGACACTTTGGGGAGAGCAGCAAAAGCTTGTGCGCGCAGCAGCTGATGATGAAAAAACTTGTGGAAGAAGCCCGCGAGGAGAGAGAATTTAGTATGTAATAATCATGGACCATTCGAGAGATAGAGAGAAAGATGTTTCTCCGCTCTCGTTGTGGAAAATTTATCTCTTATCCTTGGAAAATTGCGTATACTGCAACGCGCGCGTGACGACGATCTATATTTGCGATAAAAAATAATTCTTCGCAGGCCTCGACGAGCGAGGCGACACGAGTGATTTTTTTTATATATTCCTATACGTAAATATAGCCTGTGAATGACCCGATTATTGGTAGCTTTTACTATTATGTATACACACACCTATGTTAAATAGACTATAGACCTTTATGTAGGCTGGAAAATTATTTAACGCGCTATGCATAAGTAATCGCGTTTATATAACTTTATGTGGCAACGATGCCAGAGTTCGCGATCGTTCAACACCTGACGGAATAATCAAGCGACAGTACGAATCGTTATTTTTATTGCAAAAGTTGATAGCCTCGAAGGCGATTTTATCATCGATCTATAGACTGTATATGTAGAACGGGGATCAGCACCAGCAGCTCTTCGCGCTTGAGGTGAAGTGTTTACATCGAGCGATGTATAGGCTGATCTTTACTTCTTAGAGAGATGGCTTGGAAAACCCTAAAAATATAGGATTTGAAATTCAACTTTTTGAAAATATTAGTTCACTTGGGTTGATGAAAAATTGTATTTCACCATCGATCGAGCAGTCGTGTGGACAGCAGCATGTGAAAAGAAAGACAATAGCTTGGTGAGATCTTCGTTAAATATAAAAGGCACGTGCTTTCTTTTTTTCTAGGGGGGGGGGGGGGGNGGGGGGGGGGGGGGGGGTGTAGAAGTTAGACTTATAAAAGCAGGATGAAGGTTTATGTATCCACGAATACATACGTTCACGTAGAAACAATGACAAAAATTGAACAATGAGAGAGTAAGCTATACGAGCAAAAGAGTAATGGACGAGAGCAGAATAAAAAAAAATATCATCCTCATGCTGTGGGCACACGTGCCAATGCTTTGGTAATTGTAAAAATGAGCAGTAAGCAGCAGCATATATGTATGAGAAAGTCGAACCAGATTGGAAAGAAAGGAAATGTACACGTATAAAATTCACAGGGTGCGCTTTTGTGTATTATTGTTTATGTAAGAGCAAACAACTTGTCTAATTTGCGTTTTAGACCATTTTTCTGTCGACTGTTCCATATGCACTCTTGCAATTACGCAAATATATATGACTGATTTTAAATGAAATTTATCAGCCAATACATTTTTTTTCATGTGGCATGATAAATTTATTGTTTGTGTGGTTTGGTCATGAAATGTTAGGCCCTATGAAAAAAGTTTTTGAAATCGGAAGTAGATGATATCTCGTAAAAAAACTCGGGGGCTTGAAAAGATATCAAATTCACGAAAATCCAAGTACTCGACTCGAACTCAAAAATAAACTCGACTCGATCCCATTCTAAAGCCACTTTGGAGTACCTTGGATTTGGATTTCCAAAGTCATTCTTGTGAACTTGGAATCTATTAATTAATCCGGATAATCATAAATTTCGAGAAAATGCCACATATTTTTTCGAACCAAGTGAAATGCTGCACACGCAGTAAAATAATTCTCCGCGATCTTCTTCGCTAAATCAAGCGAGAAAAAGTCCTGATTAAGCACTTTAATGAGATGCGTATTCACCGAGCGCATCTACTTCGTCATGAAAAAAATTCGGTCGAGCCCAAGCAAGAAGACCGTAGGCATCAAAAAGATTTGTAAAACAACGTAGCATACGCTGTAATTACAAAGCCTATTCAGAGCGCATCCGAGAGCTAACGTTCGCCTGATCAAAGCGGGACCCTAACTACTTGGACTCAGGGATCGTGTATATATAGCGGTGTATATACACACACCGATTGATTAATTTTATTTGCAATGGCGCACGAGGCAGCAGCAGTCATAGCGCATAGCCGTCCGCACACTCAAAACTTTCGTGTACGTACACAATAGAACAACGAGTCGCTCCTTATATACACATACACGCGAATACACATTCACACAGAAATGTGTGTATACGTATATACGCCGACAAGAAAACTTTTAGACTGCTCCTAAGTACGAGGCATATATGGTACACACACAGTAATTCTCGATTGTATTATCCCAAAGCTGCAGGCAGCACCAGAATTTCAATGAATCGACTAAATTCAAAATCCCACGTACGTGTGTATGTGTATACACGTGTGCTTGTGCGAGAGCAGCTCTATATAATGATACGGAACAAGCTGCCTCGCGAAATTGTTCAAGTTCCAGTCGTTATAGGAGTAGTGGTGGTAGTAGTAGTCGTACACCGGTGTACTATTTTACTCCGAGGTAGCAGCTTCGCTCGCTTGCGCGCCTTTACGATTGGTTTTATCTATAAACGTATACTTTGAACTCGTGTACGTATAATGTATGTGTGTGTGTGTGTGCGCGCGCTACGTAGGTTGGCTTTAGGTCTTGGCACGACCAATTTGCTTTGATTGCACGAGGCAGTGCAGTACAGTAGGCAAGCTGCAGCACCATCTGTTGCTCTTTTTTAACACGTGTACGCGGGTGCCTTCGGTAGAAAAACGATGATTTTTTATATATACGTCGTAAGCTACAATCAGGCCGCGCTTCACTTCACATTTTTCTCATTCCGATTCTTTCTTTCCTTCTTTTTCTCGCTCGAATCGTGTGAGTCGTGAAAATGAATTTTACGATATAAGCAGGCGGGGAGCAGTGCGGGTCGCGATAATGACGTTCATTTATATAAGCGAAACTGTGTATGCTGCCGCCGCCGTCGATGGCGTACTTACTACCCGAGGAATTATTCACCGAGAATACAACAAGCGCTGCGGGCTAACTTATGCGTGTGTGCATGTGTGTGCATGTGTGGGTGTGTGTGTGTGTGTGATGGTCGAACTGCAGATGCAGCTCTTCCTCTCCGCATACATACGCAGTTCAATTTCGATACAAATTAATTATATCATTCGCTCATTCAGGCTCCAATAGATGATCTCCCGAGACCTATACGTACACATACACATACATAGCCCAAACCCTCGTGTACACGCGCGTATGCTGCAGCATCGACTCCCACACACACCGAGCCGATCATATACAGATCATATTCTGGCATTATGGATTTCATATGTCAGCGTCGCAATATAATTTCGCGCGCTGTACACACGCACACACACACCGACGTATACTGCACTGCCTCATGTATACACGCATGAATATAAACAGACGTACACGTGACACATATTACAGAGAGAGAGAGAGAGAGAAGGCGTGTGCGCCAGCTTATTTGCCTCTTGCACGTATTCGCGGATATTCTTGATTGTAAGTACATAGGTATATATAGGTAATGTAATGCGTGCAAGCTGTGGAAAGAAACTACACACCCTTACACATATACACGCGTTTGCACTCGAGTTCTCAAGTGCAATTTAATTCGACGACGACCACGGCAACACGTCAACGTCGCAGAAGGAGTTTGGCGCGTTTATACATAAATAATATACCTAGATAACAAAATATAGCACGTGCAGCAGAGCAATTGATGCGTGCTCGTACGAGAGCGCGTGTGCAAGAATTTCTGCACGCGCGCCGTTAATCGTTCTATAGGTATATACATCCCTCCATACGAGTAGCGAACTTTACCTATTCAGCCGAGGGGTTACTACTGCTGTACTATAAATGTGTGTCAAGTGTTATTATTTCGATTGTCGCGATAACATATGTATATAATGCCATTTCGACGATGACTTCCCGCATCCACACACACACACACACACACACACTCGCACACACGTGAACGTACGTGTATTATTGATAATTCGATTCTAAATACGGTCGGTGTGCCCATGTAATTGTTGCAGAGCACAGCGTAACATTTTGATTCGAGTTATTCCTGCAGTGCTGCCGAGGATTTGTTGCACGGTGCACACGAGGAACGCTTGAATATTAATGCATTCCATTGTAAATTATTCATTAAAGTTATATAACGCGCGTCACGGTATTGTATTGGCTTTCGCCGGCTTGGCTAACGCAATACGTATAGATATAAATATACATATAATATCGAAAATGCACGCAGTCGTGAAACCGGATTTGTTTTCTCGATTAATTACATTTAAATTAATCCGTCCCTCCGCAGACATGCATCTTGTACATAGCAGTAGTAGAGGATTTAGCAAACAAGTTATTTTAATAACGCGAGCACTCACCTCGTCGTAGATGAAACTGTCGATCTCCTCGAGCGGCCGATTGTAGAGGTTGCCGGGGAAGGGCTCGAACTTGTTGGGCAGCACGCCGCCGTCCTCCACGGAGGTCTTGCGCTTCGGCTGGAAGCCGTAGTCGCGCACCAGCTGCACGTGCCTGCTGCCCTGGCGGTCGCGGCTGTCCTTCGTGAACGGCTTCACCTGCTGCTTGGCGGTTTTCGCGGCTGCCGCGTGGGTCGTCGCACTGGTGCCCGCTGGCATCCGCACCACCGAGTCCGGGGTGACGAGCTCGCCGTCGTTGTCGTCGTACTCGTCGTAGAACTCGTCGCCGTTGGGGCCGCGTCTGCGACGCAGACCTCGGAGTATCTGCTCGTCGAGATTTCGGGCGAGCTCGTCGTCGGCTACCTCGTCGGCCTCGTCGTCGTCGGGCTCCTCGTCGTCGGCGGCGGCTCGAGGATCGCCGCCACCACCACCACCGCTGGCGTCGGCCTGTTGTTGATGGGTGGCAGCGTCGCAAGGCACCTCGGTGCTGCCCGTGTCACCACCGGTGCCCGAGTCCGCCGACACACCTGCGGTTCCGGCCAGTGGTGGCCTGAGCCTCTGAGAAGCTCCTCGCTGCGTCCCTCCTCTCGAGGCCCAAGCTCTGCTCGTGCCGGGCTCATCGTGGCCGTCGACGACTTCCTCCTCGACCAAGTCTCTGACATTTTCGTTATCGTCATCGTCGTCGTCGCTTCTTTGACGGCTGGCCGATCTACCGCACTTGGCAAATAGCACAGTCGGAGGATCGTCGTCGTCGTCGTCGTCGTCGCTGGTCGTGCTTGTATCTTGTTGCTGCTGCTGCTGCTGCTGCTGCTCGACCAAAATGTCACTACTACTCGGCAAACGTGGCACCTCCGGCAGCTCGATCGACATGCAGATATCATGGCTGCGCTCATCCTCGCCAAAGACGCTGTCGCTGTCCTCCTGCACGGCCACCGGCGCAGCCTTGGGTATTTTGGCCGGCGAAGGCCTGGCGGGCACGGGTGGCGGGGTTCTCGAGACTCCAGCTGCAGCTGCTGCTGCTGCCGCTGTGGGCACTGGTGGCGCCGGTCTCCTCTGCTGCTGCCTCACCTGCGGCGTCCTGGGGGGCACAGGAGGAGGCAGATCTTGTCTGCTGCTACTAGCTTGAGGCTGGTCCCCTGCTGTCTGCTGCTGCTGCTGCTCTGATTTGCCGCTACTCTGGACCGGAGGCTGCTCCCCGGGCCCAGCGGCTCTCCGCGATGTCATTGCGGATCAGGTGACGACGACAACGGCGGTGGTGGAGGCTTGCGATGACGATGGCGTTGGCCCCTCGCCGACGACCTCATCACGATTACGCTTGTCGTTTTTCTCGGGGTCTCCTTCGCTGGGCGAAGCTGCGCGGCGCATCGAGCCGAATCGTTCTTTTTACCTGCGATATCTTTTTTCTCAACGCTGCTTCTGTTTCTGCTACTGCTGGTCTTCGTCGTTCTGTGCTCGAATTATTCCTTGAGTAGAAAGCGATCATCGCGCTTCGAGGCACTTACTATCCATTCGTTCTCACTCTCTCTCACTCTGGCGCGCTATTTTTTGCTTCCTTTCCTTATATTTTTTCTTTTATTTATATCTTTCACTTTGTCCAAGATCTTGTTCCTTCTATCGCAGTCTCGAGTAACGAGATATTCCAATCTATTTTTTTCGAATCGTTCTTCTTTTCTTTCATACAATAGATCGTGAAAATAGCAGTAACAATAAACCTTGAAGTTTAATTACATATCTTGTAAATGTCGAAAATGATTCGCTTCCGTTATTGCAGCAAGTCCATGGCGTTTTATAATTTAGTGACGTATATAAATCTAATAATCTTATCAGTATCGTAATTACTCTAGGTATACGCACTTATAGAAAAATCTCTTGAAAACTACGTATAGTCACAGTCATCAGATGAGCATGTATCCTTAATTTCAAAAAAAAACCTTTGCGATAATTACATAACTATTATTATTAATTGTTTATAATTAGCTCTACGACGAATAAATTGCAGTTAATATGTAATAGAGTTTATTTTCTTGCGACGGAGAATGTGCTAAATTACGTAATGTGATATTCTACAGCTTCTATACAATCTTTAATATTTTGTTTTGCTTTTGTTTTGGGTTTTTCTTTTTTTCTACTCTTCTTGCTCGATGTATTCAGCCTCGTGTAACTCTCTCACGATCCACTTTGAGCCTCGTTAGAGTAGCGCGTCTTTGCGACTCGGTTTTCCTTGGGGTTGATTTTTGTCGGAAAGTCGCTTTCGAGGCTGATCGAGTGACGATGTAAGCTCGTGGTAGACATAATCGTTCGATCTTGAGGGGAGGAGGCGCTGACAAGAATGAAGATGACGACGACAACTTCAAGGGTATCGCGCCGACGAGGATGAATCTTGAGAAAACGAATCACACTTCATATGAAATAACGCGCGCACTCAACTGAACAAACAACAAACAGCAAACAACGGATGAGTAGGGATTTTTTTTTCATATATATTTATCTCGAAGATGGATCACAAACTGAGCGCACTAAAATACTTATGTCATTCTTCTCTTCTCTTCTCTTCTGGCGTGTCGTGCGCGCCTCGAATAAGCACTGATCTAAATGAATCCTCTGGTCTTTATCACCGATCGCTGCAATAAAAAGCAAAGACGGGGAAAATAAGAACAGCACTCTCGGCGTGTAATCCGTGCGCGTGATACGCCTCTCGTAGCACGCGGACAAGTTGAACAGCAGAAAAGCACGAATAAAAAAAAAGCCAGAGAAAGAAACTTCCTGGGTATAAAGAAGTAGAGGAGGAGGTATAAGGGATTAGGGGCGATTTTATGAGGTGAGATTCTTTGTGACTCGGGTGATAAATCAGCTTAAAACCCTTGGCGAAAGGCACGAAAAATATATGCACTCCTTTTGGTCGGCAGTAGTAGTGCACAAAACTTTCCTGACTCTAGGACGACGGTCGACATCACGTTTCACGCGCGACTTTTCTCGAGCGAATATAAGAGTGCGCAGTGTGCGTGTACGTGTGTTGTGTGGCCTGCGGAAAACAAAAGTTTCATTCGCGGGTGTATATGCATAAGTACGCGTATGCATGTGCAGCTGCGCGAATTTTCTAGCTTGGCCCGTTCATCACACGCCTCTGTGGAGAATGAGGCACCTGTCAGCGCCTATAATACGCCGCGCGCGCGTGTATAGTAACTGCTACTGCTGCTGCTGTACTGTGTGGTACTTCGGCCTTGTTTGCCCGCGTTTTATGTGTAAGTGTGTGTGCGTGTGTGATATGTGCTTGCGGCGGCCAAAGTACACCGCCCCGTATATGCACGCAACACGATAATCGATTCTCAAGATTTTTTATATACCACGCACGCACACGTAGTATACATACGTGTATGCATGCAGCGCGGTTGTTGGGGTATGTCGAGAAAAAAAACGTAGAGAGACAAGCGGAAAAACTCATCGTTATTTAATTTTAATTCATGCAGAGAGCTCTATAGACCGCATCAAGTTCATATTATAGCTAAAGTTCGGAGAAAACAAAAAGAAATAAGAAGAAAAAGAAAGAAAGAACGAAAGAAAAGGTTTGACGTGGGTTTCGCTCGCTAGCTCGCTACTCGCCTCGCCTCCGCGAGCGTGTATGTATGCAGTTATAGGAAAATTGTCCGCAGGCGAGAATCGATATACACAGCCCCGCGCGTTCCGAGTACTAGTAGTAGTAACTTGCAGTTTTCACGGAGCAAAACGCGCGGAGCGCGGTAAAAGGGGAACACCCGACGACGGCCGTACATATAGACACGTATGCTCGCCTATACTGTACATGATACGTCGCGAACGTGTGTCTGTACGAAAGTGTGTGCGTGGGTAAGCGAGCGTGTATAGGTGTCGCGCGCGCGGCTAGTTGTTTGGCGAAAAAACACATATTCGCGATTAAAAAAAAGGTCACGCGAAGAGGAGCGCAAACGTTTCAACCGTCTATTACGTACGAAGAATGAACGGTGCGAAATATCAAACGGAACCGGTTGAATTGTAATCTTAGTAGGCCCACTCAAAAGTCCAAAAGGCATTGGCTAAAAATCTCACACTCGTAAAATCCCCATCTAAAAGAAAGCCAAAAAATAGGAAAAAATTGGGATAAATATCAAAGACACACACGAACAACAAGAGTATCCCGGCTCGGAGGCGATCACGCGGCGTCCGTACGTTGGGGTTCTCCAACGAAGCATGTATACTGGTATATATAGGGTGGGCCACACACTCGTCGATTGTTACTCACTTTATCGAAATAGGCGACGTGCGCTGTGCGTCGGATCAAAATACCGCGCGCGCGCGTGTGAGCCCGCGTATCTATCTACTCGATTTTTCTCTCTTTGTCACTCCTATCTCGATCGCTCTCTCGCGTTTCTCGCGGCACAAGAGCTGTGGCGGCACTAAAGCACACCGCGGCGCGCGTCGAGGCACTTCTCTCTCTCGCGCGGGGCTCCACTGGAGCTTGCGCGCGCCCCCGCGTATCGAACTCTCTGTCTTTTTCCCTCTTCTACTACTACTGCTGCCGCGCCAGAAAGGGGGTAGCAGCAGCAGCAGCGGCAGCGGCGCTGGTGGAGGTGGTGGTAGTGCTGGTGCTGCTGGTGCTGCAGGTATACTAGTGCTGTACCTGCGCGAAAACCGTGTTGTACGCTCTATACATGTTATATACGTGTGCTTGGGCTACGTCTAGGTGAACAGCAGCTACCGTGCAGCAGCTCCACTCGTACACTGGCGCTATACACATCGGAGTCTCTCTCTCTCTCTCTCTCTCGCTCTTTCTGTTATGCACGCCTATATTCATGGTGACTTTTACTCCCCGAACGAGGTGTACACTCTTGACCTCGGCTGTCGCGGCACCTGTATATTATATATATAGGACAACGACGATCGTAGCGCGCGAAAAGTTTCACGGGATGTTTCAATGTGTACATCATGACGCTCGGAATATCTCTCGGACGACCGATATATACTTTTATTTTCTGGATTTGACGCGTACCAGTCAATTATTAATCCAAAGAGAAACGGAAGCTAAACTCTTTCTCCCGATCGAATCGATCAACCGAACCAGAAAGAGAGAGATTTCCGTGCGATACGTACTCATTAATGAAGTTTTCGCATGCGACACGACGATCGATTATTCATGCGGCCCGCGCGCGAGCACCTGCGAAGAATCGAAGTATCAATTTCAGGAAATATATATATCCGCGCGTGCGATTGATTCGATGTCATCGTGAGCCAACGAGCGAACCAGCTCACTGGCTCATATTCAGGATTCAAGCAGAGGAGACTGTTTTTCTTTCTCGACGATGTATATCTATATACCGCATAGCCTGCGCTATGAAGCGCACCAAGTTTGTTTTGATGATATAGGAATTTCTACAGAGTATACTACACGTGAGAGAGAAATTAGGTAAAGTTTGCGCGCATTATCGCCCAGTGCGCCGTGGTAGGACGCTGTATATGCATGCGACGACGCGCGGGGTTATAAAACGCGCGCCAACTCCGAGCATCAATTCTATTAATGTCGCTCGTTCGCTCGTGAGGCGGCTGTGCTTTTATCCGTTCACGTAAATCTAGGCTCGACTTATTATCGCGAAACAAAATGTGTGCGTGCCTATGCCGCTGCGCCGCGCCGTATCGCCCTTATCGTATCGATTAGCCTCGTGTGCAACCGTATTTGCTAATATCAAAGTTTTAGCGAGGAAATCGTAAAAGGGCTAATCTATTCGACTTCATAAATCTTTTTCAGGTGTATACGCTATTACACGGGTATTCTGTGCTGCGACTGTACAACATGGCATACATTACTCGGGACTAGAGCTGCACAGTGTGCTTCGCATTAGAATGGTGCGCGAATCAGTCAAAGCAGAAGCCGCGACAATTGGCACCTAATGAGCTTGCGAGCTTTGAATTATTGTTATCCGTATAATGGAATGTGCAGCGAGAGAGAGTGGCTTTTGAGTTCTGAGTCTATATGCACCAGCTCATGCGCACATATAATACAGAGCGCGCGCGTACGCGATAGTTACTTTTGATAATCGAATGAGAGTGCGATTGCGAATCGAAAAATGAATTATTTCTCGACAATTCATCGTTCGATATCATAAGCTCGCGGAGCTTACGAAGTAAATCTTCGTGTATTTGTCGATTTTCGATCAAGCTCAGCATTATCTATAGAAAACGTGCCTAACCGGCAATCTTCCTAAATCCGCTGAATACACGCTCTCTACACGGCTATATATATTGGATTCGTAAATACGGCGTACGCAAAAGTTCTGCAAAGCCATTTAAAATGTAGCCATACCGGGAGTTCATTTGCATAGCTGCAGCTACATCAGCATCAGCGCAGCAGCAAAAAATGTCGTCTTTCCAAAATGCGCGAGCGCTCGGCCCATTAACCCAGTATTTTTCCGCCTTCTCTCGTCGTCGAGACGCGCGCGACTGCTTTATTTCCCTTTACATCCGAGCGTTGTGTACTACGTATGTATGTACGTGTATATAAATATGAATGCAGGTATAATTGCGACTCGAGCTTTGTTGTTTGCGTTTGTGGCTTTTCGAAGCGAAACTTCTTCGCGCGCGACGAGGAAAGTTACTCGATATGATCCGCGTGAAAAACAAGCTAGTAAGCGCGATAATCGTAAAGGATTTATATACTTACACTAGCCGTGGTGCGTTACGCAGCTTGTCAGATCAGATGTAGAATTGCCTGCAAAGACAGAGTTTTTCGCGCGCAATTATTGGTCAGCGCTTCTAATATTGAGTGCCGAGTGTTGGCTTGCCTCTTCTTAATGCTGCCACTAAGTGCTGCTCGCCGCTCATGTCTTTCTTGGTAACATCTCCGTTGCGTCGTGTATATCTCTGTCTTTGTACTCGCTTGACAGTGGCTCTCGCGCTGTACGACACACTGTTCGTGTCCGTGCGAGTTCTTGGACAAACAACACCATACACGCATGTTGTACCTTTTAAGTTCATATATAGATCGTAGGTTAGTATACGTTACGACGCCGCAGCGTAATCAACAAAGAAGCATCGACCACAACAAGCGATTATCGTGAAAAAGAAGAATTATTTAAAATCATAAGTGATTGTGTTAGTGTGAAGGTGTAAGAAAATGTCCCAAAGCAACCAAAAATATTTGAAAAAATTAAAGGGTAATAAGCCTCAAAAGGTCAATCGGAATATCGAAGTAATGAGTCACGAATTTCTTCGTAAACTTTATCCCTTCATCAGAGATTATGACGGCCAACTCCCATATATTTTAGACATTTTTCAACCCAAAGCAATTGAATGGCTTCTCTCTGAGTCTGTAAAATCCAATGACAGCGTGATTAAACCAAAACCACTCATCGACTTTTTCATCAACACCGGCTACAAGGACGAGCCCAAAGTAGATAAAGATAACAAGCCATTTTCGCGTCGAACCACACCATTACATCATACGGGCAAAGGTGATGCTTCTATCGTCACTGATCTTTTTAAAATATACGATAGATTTGACGTGAATTACACCAATGAAGATGGATTGACACATTTACACGTGGCCTGCAAGTTTGGATGTGACGATGTTGTCGAGCAATTCCTCGAACAGGGCCAGGATCCTAATTGTCTCGTGACAGAAACGGGTAATTCGCCGCTACACTTAGCTCTGGACTGGTACCACCATAAGAAGATAGCCGAATTACTACTAAGAGCAGGTGCTGATCTAAATTTAGCCAATGTAGACGGATTGACTCCTCTGCACAAAATTTGCTTAAATCATGATGAATTGGTAGAGATGTTCTTCAATATCAACGATGATGAACATCAAACGGTGGAAATTGATGCCCAGGACAACGACGGTAACACACCATTGCATTGGGCTCTGCGCGCTGGTAAGGATAAGGTAGTTAAATTGCTGCTGAGAAAGGGTGCAAACCCGAATTTGGCTGACGTGAAAGGGTCGACTCCTCTGCACATAATTTGCTGGAGATACCGAGAATATGATTTTATGGAAATGTTCTTTAAGATGAACAACGACATACAGCAGACGGTGCAAGTCAACGCTCGAGACAAATTAGGTAATACGCCACTACATGTGGCTATGTCCTATTACAACAAGAAGACTCCCGAATCATTGCTGAGAAGAGGTGCTGATCCGAATTCGGCAAACGAAGAGGGATCGACTCCTTTGCACATTATTTGCCAGAGAGAGCAAAATAATAATGATGAATTTGCGGAGCTATTCTTCAGGATTAACGATGACGTCCAGCAGACAGTGCAAGTCGATGCCAGGGACAACTTAGGTCGGACACCGCTGCAATTAGCTGTAGCGAACCTTTTGCCGCATGTGATCGACATACTCTTGGATCGCGGCGCTAATTTGTCTAGCTTCGTTTTCCCAACTGAGAGTTATTTCATCGAAGGGTTTCGAAAAGGGCTTTGTAAAAACAGAGATGATTTCAAATTTAGACTGGCGTTTTGTGCTCTGTCTGTGGTCGAGCGCCTAGAGAAACGAGGATACGAGTTGAGCCAAAACGACGACCTGACGATTATGAATACGTTGTGTAAACACAACATTTTCTTTAACTTCTCGCCTCTTGAAATTTGGCGTAGCGACGAAGAGTTTGCAATTGAAGCGAAAAAAATAACGGTGAGTCCAAGTCTGTCGCTTTACGACTTGATCCAGCTGCCATACGAAGAGGCGGCGAAAAAACTTACATATACAGATTACTTCAAGTTATGTGGTTCGATAGGAATGCGGAGTCTCGGATACGAGGATAAACAGGATTATGCTGTGTATCTTTGCGAGATAATGTGGAGAGAATTTTTCCGTCGATGGGCACTGGATCTTTTCTTGGAGTTGACTCGCTACCGACTGCCAATTCTTTGCTGTGATATGATCATCAAGGAGCTGAAAAACAAAGATTTCTGGCATATTTGCTCGGCGGCTACAGGTCGAAATTCGTGGTGGCGATGAACTTATATTATTATATGTAGTATTTTTCAATGTTTCTACTTTGTCAATATATGTATATAAATAAATTTTAAAAAATTCGATTTATTAACTTGTTTTAACTTTAATTTTTTTGTGTTTTAATTTTATTTCAATTTTTTTTAAAGTAAATCTTGAAGGAGTTTCACATATTGCACTATTTTTTACAATGTTGCTTATTGATTTTACACATACTTTTTAAATATCTAAAAATATTCACTCACCGATCTCAGTATTTCATGTTAAGAATTACAACAACATTTATAATAATCAACGCTTTATCTATTGCTGCACCGCAACTTCAGTGTATGAGCCACCCGAGACTGACAAAATTATAAATGATCGAGAAGATCGTAAATGGAAATTTTTGTGACAATCTTGATATCCGGTTTGTAAACACCTACTTTCGGTACTCGC